GCACGGCATATTATTGAGAACTAATTGTAATAAAGACATAAGTCAAGCTGAAAATACTGGAGTAAAACACAACTTCAGGAATTGAAGGAATACCAGCTGAGATGTCCCATCAACACATGCACTGTTGACAATGCTAACTCTCTTATGTAACGAAAATTTGTAAGACAACTATGAAGCCTGAAGGGATCTATATTTGGTTCCACTACAAAGAGAGGCGATTCAATATAATGCAGACATGTGCTAAAAAATATTTATATCACATTCAAGTAAATTTTCCTAAGGACAAATTTAAAACAGTTGGACTGCTACATCTACAAGTACCTGCCAGAAATTCAGGGTGAATTAAATAAAGGATGTAGATTGCAGCTCATGTACTCTGGCCATGAGATCAGGAGGGACCAGCCCCTGGACAAAAACATAAAGTGTGGCAGCAAATAGAAGGAGATGGATTGGCACAGTAGTTCTAACAGTGTTGGCAATAATTGTGAGGAAGATGCAGGAATGGGCAATATTTCTTTCTGTTGTTCACCAGGCAGCTAAGATTTGGAACTGACTTGATGACACAAACAATAATGAAGGATTGTAGGAAGATGTCTATCTCAAAGCAAGTTTTAAGTTTTAGTCCTTTGGCAAATATATTGTGTTCTTTCACTTGTCCACTAGACTCTTTCTCTACAAAATAGGTATAACATTTTCTGCCAGTGTGGCTTATAAATATCAATGAAGCAAGCGAGTTTAGTAATCCTTCAGGAAATAATGTAATCATTTAATGAAGTATAAGAATTTACGATATCTCAAATCCAGTATTTTGTCATGGGTTTTAAGAGCGGAATACTAAGTAGGCATTTAGGATTTAAAAGAAATGAAAGCTGTATATTGTTTTAACTCTTAATAAAGTTTGTCTGTAATTTTGATAATTTTTGGAAGCAAACAACACTTCATACCATAATGTTCCCCTTTTCTCTTTTTTTTACTTTATGCATCAGTGATGCTTTGTTTCCAAACACAAAGCAGTGCCCCCGGTGGCTGGCATGTTAGATTGTGCTCCAGAGGAAGAGGGATTTCTCATTTGCATTTACATCCTCACTCCTCATCACAAATAATGCTGATCTTGCAGACACTACCAGTGACTTGTACTAATGGAAATTAAGGTGAGCTTTAAGTCACTTGTGACCTGACTCTTAGGGGTGAGACGATTCATGAAACAGAAGCCACTCTTTTTGCTCTATGGAGTTGAATAGGAAATGGAGAGATTAGAAAGGAGTCTGGTCAGGATGCGGAAAATGAAAAAAAAAAAAAAAGAGCAAGTTTCCTCTATTTTAAAATCCATCTTTCCCTAAACATTTATGAAGCATGGACTGTGGGTCAAATACTGTGAAGATGAAAGAATCGTTAAGTTAAAAGCTGTCATTTAATTGTTTTTACAAATATTCTTACATGATCTCAGTTTCATGAGAAGAATAGGCAAGGCTGCCAGGGACAGGGCTGAGAGTGGAAGAAGAACCAAGCACTCTGGGATGTGATGATTAGCTTTTGTGTATGGTAAAGGGAAATAGGCATCCATTAGGGCTGTGGTTGGTCAACCCATTAATGTATAATTGATACACCAATCTGCAGAACTGAAAAATGCCAAATGGGCAAAAGGCAGGTAAGTCAAAAAGTATTGCTACTGGGGCTCTAGTTCATACACAGACTGCCTTATTCCAAATAAAACATGTTTAAACACGTCCCTGTGATCAGTGGATAGCTGCAAACAAGTTCCCTCCATAAGACAAAGTTTCTTAGTTTTATTAGGGTGACTTAAGAACAGTTCAATGTGAATAGTGGTTTCTAAGGGAGGATCTATTGGACCAGTTAAAGTCAAAGCAGAGAGGTTAGCTCAGAAAATTAGTGATTGATTTTTGGAATAATCTTCATAGTTTTTTTTCTCTCTTAAGAACGTATGAAGATCCTGAGGGCTAATTATGATGCTGTTTAAGAAAAATGAAGCTTGCATTGGTGAAAAAATGACCAGGAAATTTATGACTAGGAATTAATGGTTTTCCATCACAGTAATATACTTGTTCATGGTAGAAAATTTTATTGGGAAACCTTATCCCACCTATTCTACAGCTATGATTTAGCTGCTTCTGATTTTTTTGTTCACCAAATTCAAATAATACTGAAAAGGAAGGTACTTTGAATCCCTGAGAATGTCAAATCTGCTACTTTTTGTGATTTAAATATAGATGACAGTGAAAGCCCAAAATCCATGTATAGTGCCCCCATGTGGATTAACCCTCTGGTCAATCTCCTCTGACCACAGACCAGGGATCTGAACATCCTTGCTATTAGACAAAAGTGCACTGGAAACTGGATTATTACAGACTTCTTTAGGTTAAAATGTAACAACTCATCCTTTGATCGCCCTTTTGATCCATTTAAAATTGTTCTAATTTTTCATATTTTCTGCTTTTTATTGAGTTTTAAAAATTTTGTAATTCACATTAGATAAATCTATAAAGACAGTAAGTAGATTAAAAGTGTCTTAGGACCATGGCAGAGGAGCTTGGGGCGAAGTGGGGAGCTTAGAACAATGAGTATAAGAAAGAAGAAAATGTTCTGAAATTCATTGCAGTGATGGTTGCCACAGCTCCCTTTAGGATGAGTGAATTATTGAATTGTGTGATATGTGAATTAAATGCCAATGAAATTGTTGAAAACACTCAGAATCATTCTGGAAAGACAGATTGAGAGATGGAAACACTGCTTCTAGATGAAGGATGAGAAAAATAACAGTGTCCCATTTTGTTAAATAAATGTTTCTATGTTTTGTGTCTGTGTGTGTACACACTTATACAAAGATATATGCATACGTACACCAAGAAGATATATATATATATATATATATATACATATACATATTTATCTTCGTATTTGAGCCAAAAGAAAGGAAGAAACACAGTTGTTGAAGTTAATTGAGAACAATTAAACACCTATGGGATGAATCCCTGTGGTATCATAGTGATTTACATGTTGGGCTGCTAATGACAAGGCTAGCAGTTGGAAACCATCAGGGAGAAAGATTAGGTTTTCAGCTCCCATAAAGATCCAATCTCAGAAATCCACAGGGACTGTTCTACCTTGTTTCACAGTCACGGTGAATAGGGCTCAACTTGATGGCAGTGAGTTTTTGTTTGTACATTTGTTTGATTTTGACTCTGAGGTTTAGGATCCTATTTTCCAGGGACATTCCAATCAATTAGCTTAAAATTGTTTCTCCATACTTCTGTTCTATCTATCTCCTGGTTTTTAAAGGCAGCAAAAAAGTAAAACAATTGTTTTTTACTTATCTCGAGCAACACAGGAAGGAGAGTCAGTACTGGAGAAGAATAAAAGACATGAAATCAAATTTCAGAGTTTGAAAGTCATCAACTCTATGAGATGCATACAGTTACACATGCAATAATGAATTTAGAATTCATTGAAGGTAAAAAGCATTTTGTCATCGCATCAGAAAGTCCCACAAAGTCATTTACCTACAAGGGAGTCACCCCCGTGAAGTGGTATTTCGATCCATCATGGCTTGGGCCGACATATGTAGGGATTTCAGGGAAGGTTACAGTCAAGACCTATTCCAGGGACAGACAAACCTAGTCTGTCTGACTCCTGGGGTGAGCTGGGGAGGAGAAGAAGACGGGAAGAAGAGACGGTGAAGACGGGCGTGGAATGAGTCCGGAGACAGATCAGTCCTTGTTCCCCTGTGTTTGGGTACTTTCCTGTCCTCCTTTCAAAGCTGGCTGCCCAGCGGAGTCCTGCGCGAGGTGCGGTCTTGGGCCCCGCCCCCCAACGCGCGAGCCTGGCAGCCCGCGGCCGGCGCCTATCTCTTTAAGTGACAGCTGTGGCTCGGGTCCCAGCCCGGGGCGTGACGTCAGAGCC